TGCGTGCTAAACAGCGTTTAAAAGCTTTGGGATTTCCCCTGAACTTGAACTTTTCCGTATAACAAGCAACAAACGGACGAAAAAGCCAATCTAGAAAGAGTAAAAACAAGTTGCACAACCATGACCTACTGACAAAATTCCACTCACTCTAATAGCGTTGTCAACGTTTGTTTTACTTGAACAAATCTTCCAGTGAATGTCTGCACTCAACTTTTTCAACCAGAAATTTGTTACTCCTAAGTAAGTAAAGAGGTTTTAAAACAGATGTGTGGCGAAAAGTAACCCGAGAATAGGGAGCTGCTAAAATACGGTGAAGAGTACTTGAGGAAAAACGACCAAGTTTGTGGGAACACTCCGATTACATTACGCATTTCTTACAGGACAATACTATTTATTCCGGAATAAAAGGTTCCGATCAAGATAGCCGAGCAATCTTGTAGAGCAGGTCACATGAGAGGGCACTCAACCGCAAAGTGAGTTGAATGGATAGGCTCAGTCGAGGTGCATGCTAGCTACACAGACGACCATCTAGAAACAAACAAATAGTACAACATTCTTTTCCGATACAGGAAGGCTGTGGAATTAAATCTCTCTTGTGTAGTAGGCACTCCCAAATATTTGCCGGGTAATTAAACGTACTGGAGGAATTTCTTGGTTTTTTTGTCAGTGCGAAAATAGCGTGTAATTTGAGATCTGTTATTGAGAGTGAAAACGTAAAACTATCCAACGGAATTATAGTAGTGGTCAGTTCAAGTCGGGTTACGTTAGTACATTGGTTTTTAGCTTTGGTAAAGCTGGAGCTCTTCCCACTTGTGAATATTTCGAAGGCAAATCATCTATCAAACCCAAATGTACTGTTTACTTACATTTAACATAGCAAACGCCTGGAAAACCAATCCAGAACACAGAGCGTTGCAATCCAATGGAAATTGGAATATCTGAACTGGTGACCAGGTTCTCCTTAACTCAAAGTCTGAAGAACGTGGCATTAAGAAAGGTTATTAACTCGTTTCTTCACAAAAAATCAATAAAAAACTTTCTGAAACCTCAGGTTTTTGAGGTAAATGTATGGGAATGGGACAAAACTGACAGTCACTTGTTGGAGAATCCCGGTGAAATCAGTATGAAATTTTAAATAAATCAGACAATTATGCCAGAGCCTAAGCATGGACATCAGAGCGTTGGTGTCATTAGGACAGCACATAGGAAAGTCAAAATGCAGAATGTCAACATCCGGTTGGTGCTGTCAGACTCGGAAAGTAAAATCCTATTTTTTTTCGCTTGAACAGGCCAACCACTGTGAGGACTAATCAGTCAAAGTGAAACCTTTTGCCATGCCAAAATCTTTTGTGGACGTAGTCGTAATCGACAGTGCATGATTCTCACGGTCTGTGAAACGAGGAGAACTTCGGATCAGTTTCGCGGACCAAGACTCTTAGAGAGTACCGGTGTAAATATACAGTAGATTTTACGGTTAATTTAAAGAACTGCAAATGAATATATTTGGATTGGTTATAAGCTACATATATACATTTGTTTAGTGCAAGTACGTATCAATGAAAAGTAACCTCCGTTCGGTTTAATAGGTTTTTTTGCACTGACCCATAAACGGTCTAAGGTGAATGCCGGTTGTAAGGAGTCCCTGTCGCCTAAAAAAAGACAAGCTAAGCACAACGCCTAAGGCAACGCATATTACTGGTTTTCACTGATCGCAATAAGTCTGACAAACACGTATACGCGTGAACATCGTGCTAGATTGTTCGGAAATGTTGATGTCAGTGAAGGCATTTATATCTGTATTCGGTTTGTGGTACGAAAATGGGATAACCTTGGGAAACATAAATGCAGACCACCCGAGGCAGTTTCCATGTTCACTAGGGCTTTGTGTCGACGGACAGATTCTCGGACCATACAAGCACCTACTTTGCCATTGATATTCTTTTGCTTTCGAAGGGCTACTTGATTAATGACTGGCCACATGGAGGTAAATGTTTTGCTATTCGAAGCTTACATGGTTAAGGTATGCAGTGACAGGACAGAATGTTGCTTTTAGGTCGTCGGAGGAAAGTGCTGGTTCCCTGAACAAGGGCCTACTGGAAGTGGGTTGTGCTTCCTGTGCATTATCAACTTCTTTGCCCGTAGTGTTAACCTACAAGGCGCCCATTGTAACTCAGAATTGTGTTGCTACTCACGTGTACTGTTTGAAACGAAATTAGCCTCTAGTGAAGGCTACCAAGAGACACGTGGCCACGTCTTCGCAAGTTGTTCTCAAATCAGAGCAATTACAACGACAAATAGCAGTTGGTTAATCAGGCTGGTTGAATGGCGGAACTAATGGACGGTTTCGAGTAAATGAATAAGGCCCAGTGACTGACGAAATACACTCATCTGCAAATTACGTTGGTGCTAGATCAAGATTCGACAAAATCTCTCGCTTGTATTCACCTTCAACCAATCTTTTTTCCATAGTGACCGCTTCATATTTTAGTTGGCACGATATTCGAGAAGTTTTGGTGTTTTCCTGAAAGAACACACTACTCTCATAATTCTTCGATTGCCCACCAACTTATTTGTCCTTTTGAGTTTTTGTTACCACCAATTTAAGCTATAAACGGGAGCATTTCGTCTACTTCAGCGGTTGTTCAAATAGAACAAAAGGTCGATTGCAACCCGCCTAACTAATAAGCTCCAGGAAAACCAATATCGACAGAGTTATGTTGAGAAATTCCCTGCATCCTTTTGTCAAGAAAAAATTGTTGATTTTCCGGCTACTATTCCGTGTAACTTATGACAGCAAGTTCCAGGGTCAATGCACAACTTGAAACGATATTCCGAAGGACAAACCCCGTTTACTTTCCACCTTTTGTTGCTGACATCGCAACGTAATCTACAGTTAGGAAGTTTACGGCTGGTAGCAGCCGAATGCAAAATACTGCTGGTGTGGATAGCTCTAGGGCGTCTAGGTTTCCAAGAAAATCAAAGCTATAGTGTCTCATTTGTTGGCCCTCGCACGTTAGTATATCAGAATGGTTCATAATGGTTGCGGGGAGAATTTTTAACGACAATATCCTCAATCGGAGCATGGATTTCGTTTGTATCATCGTTGGCAGGCAGTAAATGCTCGAGATTGAACACCAGTGACCTGAGGTGTAAGCGTGGCAGCTGAATCTTCCCTTAGTCAAGGAATGTGCCATATTGGTGTCAGTGAAATCCGGAATAACGTGAAAGAGCCTGTGAGAAGTCACTTAGATGCAACACGGTTATTGAGTTCTTTTCAAGCTCCTGTGATTCCGAAGCCTTTTTGAGAATGAAACGAGATAAACATCCGGACATGATATTTTTTTACCCATCTTTAAGTTGAGCCAAAGTGTCGCAAAACACTGAGATTATGAAGCTTGAACTGAGATGTTGCATCTATGCATGTAGACACACTTGACTGAAGGAGTTAAGTGAGTATTCTGTGCTTTCTGATTTGTCTCAATATATGTAGATAAGTTATAATCTAAGTATCATGGCAACCCTGAGTAACTACAAGAATTTCGTTAACCAAATCCTCATTCGCTGAGTCTGTATGGTAGTACTGGAAAAGGTGTGTAGCATAATAATGTCAGCTCGTTCTTCAGAAAAAGTTCAGAAATTCGCCGTTTATTTTGAAAACGACTTTTGATGTTTCCGAACTTCTGGTTACAATAATTATTTTTTCGTCACTACAACAATACGTTTAGCTCACGCCTAGATTTATGCTATATTACCACAATATGAATTCGGCTGAACCATTTCATGAGCAATTTACCCACATTGATCGTAAGCGTAAATTGCACATGTGGATATGTACTACGATTCGAGAAATACAAAATCATCACAGACAAGTTTTTTGTGTAGGTCCACAGTTTTGGCGTTTTTCCCTAAACAGACCTTCCCAATCGAACAGGTGAGAATAGAATTTCCACCGGCCACCATAACCTCAGTTGGCGTCCACCTGGTTTCTCATTCAGTGCATACCTCGCTTTAAAAGTTGCTTACGTTACTGCGGGGATTTCTGTGTTGAGTGGATAAGCGTTTCCATTAGTTGGAGACTAACGGGTGGATAGATTGACGGGAAAGCTAATGGCATTCCGATTGATATGTAGATTTCGGTTGCTGCCGCGAAGCTACCTTAATTATGTGAGTTACTACTGCACAGCCAAATGTGTACCACTCGTCAGCCGGAACTATGGAGCTGGCTGCATTCAGAAGGTAAATTACATGAAAACCAATAGGTTATCTGTATGCCAGCGGCTTCCACATACGGTAGGTAATCCTATGATTCGGCTTTTAGGTAGCTTTTAGGAAGATATGAGTCACATTCGATCCATTGACCTAATAGGTAATAGTGGGAGATTCCAGAATAGAAATCCATTTGGATAACTCAGTCTAATTGTGCACTGCAACAGCAATCAACCTATTAAGATACACTTTAATTACTTGTGCTTAGCATGAGTTTCCTAGAAACCTTTATCTAACGACTTTCAAACTTAATACCGGAGGGGTGATCTCCACTTCGCAGTCATAAATTCCTCCACCTGGGTTTGTGGGAGGCTACACTTTGTTCCTGCTTAGACCCGGGGCTTGCAGACTATATTTCATCCTCATCATGCCAAACTTGCCATCTCCAGGTGTTGGTATGATCAACAAATGAGACTTTCCTTATGCAAGTTCTTCTCTGTTTAGTGTGCTCAGTATACCCTACTGGTCTAGTCAATGGGTGACACTGAGGAATACGGGGTGAGTGCTATATATATGATCAAAGAATAACTTAAAAACGCTTAAAATATGCTAATCACTGGCCATGGGACCAAACTGATGTACTGCTTATATACTAGTATTTCATGTTACTCCGATAACGTGGAATCTACTTGTTCATAACGCATCTATGGTAACAAATACTTTAAGAGAACTATTCCATGAAAGCACGATTTAAGTGTGCACAGAACTTGACCCCCTTTCTTTATCCTGAAATCTCAGAAAGATAGGTATTCTCCGGCAGAAATCCTACAGATACTATCCGTACAAGTCATTTTGAAGATGTGGAATTCCAAACTTACCATACAGTGTATTATTGTCTGATTCATATGATGTCCTAACTGCAGCCTGATTTCCGGTGGAAGACTTTCCAGATAACCACCCATTGAAATGGCACTAGTAATCAGCTGATAGGAATGCACGTCTCCTTTGTGATAGAATGCTTCTGCAGCGAAACTGTTCACATCCATAGCAAACTTTCTAGGAGTCTTTATGCGTGACTCCTCCAAAACCTTGGTTGCTTCCGAAGCCAATGGTCGTAGATTACACAAGGTGATTGACGGAAATGGTGATGGTGTGTCACGAAGCACCTGTGGTGGATGGATCACGTGATATTCCAGGTATTGTCTTGTGAGGAAAAACATGCAAATAAACAGACCGATGAAAAGAAACAGTACAGAACTGGCCCAAACAATTTGAAACGACTTGCTCCGAGCATTGACCACCCTGGTGACACCACGTATCGTAGTGGTTTGGCAAAACAAAATCAATTCCTTTTTTATTTTTGTTCGTATGGGCTTGATTTGGCGGTTTGTTGGGTTTGTGTGACTCTCCTCATACTGAATTGGTTGTACTTCCTCTTCTACACGGATGTGGGGTAGACTCATTTTTTTTACGAATATGCACGTTTCATACGAAATGGGTTGGTGTTATGTTTCAGTAATAAGCACACTTTGCTCCATCGCTATTTATTATAGCCAGCTTGTATGTACTGCTATGTCCTCATTGGCTCACGAAACCCATTTGTCACTGGGACAGAGTAAACGAGCCAATCAACGATTTTTTTTGTCCCGAAATGATAATTATATTTTTATTAGTTTTGTGCACGATCGCGTGTGGAAAGAAGTACACCAAGAACCAGGAAGCCAATAACTTCAGAAAGCATGGTTACTGAAGGCATGGGATATTAATCAAATCCTCCAGTAAGTCGTGTAACCGGTGTATTGAGCAGGCACGCAAAACATGTCAAAAATGTCTTGCGATCAGAAAAGGTTCCCCTTTAAAAATTCGAACTTCAGAAAGATCGCAATTTCTAGTGTAATTTAATGACTGCCAGCCGCATACGGAGCATACAGAGATATGAATACATTATTAAACTGCTATTATCTTAGCAAAACAATCTGGTCGTCCGTTGGAAGTGAGTTTATTTATTCACTTCTAAAAGATGTAATTTCTACCACATATTGGGCTTGTAGGTTGGATGTGAATGTGATGGACGAAGAACCTTAAAAAACTGGCTACTGCTGCAGTAGGCATGAAATTCAGTTAGGGGACCCACGTTTTCGGATTATGTTACAATAAGAGTTGAGTGCAACAGGCCTGTGATGCCTAGTCACAGGTGTGACAGGTCGTACCATTTTTGAACTCTGTAAAACCATAGAAACTTGGTATTATTTTAATCGACTATAATAAAATTACTCTTTCGTTTTATTTTCGGGCAGCTCTTGAGTGGAAGTTTTGCTATCTGTGGGAGGTCATAAAACATAAAACAGTGATGTTTCACACAACAGAAGTAAAGTTAAAAATTGCCTTGGAACATTACCTCTTCATAGCAATCAGCCGCTCAATGACGATTTATTAGTTTTGTGCCCAACATTTTATGCGAAGACCTTTGGTCGTGTATATTTGTTGATAGTGTGAGGAGATTTACAAATCTTCACGTGAAATTCCTTCATATGCTGAGTAGCCAAGAAGCTGCTCAATCTTTAGTGAGAATCATTAGCAGTGCATGTCTAACGAAACTCCGGGGGATTTCAAACCCGCGTCTTCCCAGCTGATAGTTTTAACAATTACCGCGTAATCTTTCTCATTTTCTGTACACTTTTCTTCGCCAGTGCACGCACCAAAAACGCTTATCTTACTACAGTGCTATGGTTCTATTGTGACCTCGGAAACTTCAGTCAAATAAAGTCGTGCTCGAGAGGTGGTCAAACGATAGCATAGGTCAGCACTGTTGAGTATCGCCAATGCATGCTAAACCACTTGTGTGGTACAAATTGTGCGATTTTATTTCTAATTTCTAATTCACTAAACCGAAGAGCCCTGGGAACTGAGAGGTTGTTACTTGAATTGATTATCTGAATAACTTAAAAGTACTCTTTGCTTGTGAAGCCTACTTGATGAACTGGTAACCAATAGCATTCGTAGACCTCTAGTACGTTTGAATCTAGGTCGAGTATTTCGTTTGACTGAACTTTGCGGCTGCTGATATCAACTTGGCTACACTGGATCCCTCTTTCAGTGACTTTTGCAACACGATAACACTCTGAGTATGATCAAATAAGTTATTGTTATCTATATTATATTCTTTTTATGCCCAAATATCAACGACATTAACGATATTGAAGAGGTCGTCTTCACTAGGGGTTTTGTCACCAATAAACTCTGTCGAAAAGTCACAGTACAATATGCTTTACTAGGTTTAGTTACATCACAGTGTTTTTGTCGGTCGGCTGTCTTTCTGCATAGGGGCGCTGTTAACTTATAGTGTGCGTTACAGCCGGAAGAGCAGCATGGAATTCAGCCTATCGCAATGTGACCAAGTCGGTTACGCAGCTGGTTGACTGGTTGTGTGCAACCAATGGCTTCATGGCAATGAAGACATTGGAATCTTACGCTGATTAGATACAGTCGGTTGCCTTCAGGCATTTACAAACCGACCGGTGTCATCGTTTGGATCTCAAACGAAACATTATAATCGCTGAAGTAGGATTCTTCTGGCGTCAGGTGACTTACTTTTGCGTTCGTATTCTCTGTATAATACAATAAAATAAGTCTCGTCAACAGCATATGAAATAGAGTGTAAAATTTACTCTTGACAGCTTCAGCACTTCAAGCACTTCAAGTGCGAGGAGAGAGACATCGAGTAAGGATCTAACCTAGTAGTGTTGCTTCTCAGAATCAAACTGATCTTATCGTGCATCGTCATCATCATCATCGCCAGCGAAATATCAGTGTTCAACACCGATGCTTCACTGGCGTCACGAAGAGGCTGGTCCTTACCGTGGTGTGACGGTTTGCGCACCTCAGCCATCCATTGACCTATACTGGGGCGTGTCCCCGCGACACCCACAGAGTCTCTCCTACCGGGTTGGTCAGTGATTAAAGGTCAGAAAAACAGTCTCCTGGCCCTCCAGGTTGGGGGTTGGAACAAGTGGCTACTTGTGCCGTAGAAATGGTAATGCATTTGCATATCCCGCCAAACCCCGCTGCCTTGCGGTTAGGCTTTTGAGCCAAAGGCTTTGGTTGAGGACCCCAATCGTTCTCATGTCTAGGTGGGGCGCCCTGGCAGTATCCCAGCTCTCGTACAACCATGACTTTCACAACTAACAATACTCTTATCGTCCATAACCTGTTGTCGTATCCAAATAGAAGTTCAGGATTTGCGCGTTTACTGGGTGCCACTCCAGCTGCTGTTGATGGGGAAATCAAGCTGCCGGCAATGCGTAAGTGACAAGTTGTGAGCCTATTTTCTGACGAAGAATTAAAGCACAAACACCCACTTGGAACCATCCAACTGCGAAATCGAAGCTATCCGCTATTCACTCTGTTCGAGCTTCCAGAATTATAAAAAACCTAGCTTAAAGCGATCACATTCGTTCAGTAATATAGAGGGTGGTGGGTTCTGTGTTAATAGGTGAAGAGATATGCTATCATGAGACGAAAGTGGAAGGTGACAGGATAGACAATGTAAGTTCACTCAGAGTTTCCAATGGTCACCGTTTTAATTATCTAGATAGATTCTTTGTGTGAGAATATTTTCGAAATTTGCGTTCTATGAAGGTTCCGATGATAACGAAAAGTCTGCACGTCATGTGTTGATTGTTTGTGGTTTTACTAGTATCTTGGTGACGCATCATTTTCCGCAGAATTTTTGACGGCCCACTTGATGTTGATTGCAGCTTTGATACGATTTTTGTGTGACGACTTCCCTAATCACTTTTGTCACCAAAATATTCCCACGTAATAAAAAATTTTCTCTTATCAAAGTTAGTTGTTTGTTTAAGGGTTATTTGTGGGAATTATCCAAAGTAAGAACACTGATTCCAACTAAGGGCACCTCCTTGAGTGGTTGTAAAGTTAGGCTTAAAATTGGTACCTTCTGAATCTTCTAACAAGGAATACTAAAAGTATCTCCGTAGCGCAAATTGCCATTTTAGTGAAAACAAAGATGCAAGGTTCACGCACTTGGCTTTCATTTTTTCGGGCAACGGTTAGGTATGTGACCACAGGCAGGAGTGTGATGACTTTTCCTTGGTTACTGAAGGTCGCGCAGCCTCAAGATCGCGTAGTCTCAAGGTCGCGTAGCCTACAACCTTATCCCTCTATGGGGCAACCAAGTTGTTTATGGCCAAAGACCACCTTCAGTCAAATGTCTTAAGTGGTCCCTTCGGAGCGCAACAAGTATGCAAGACACATCGATACCGTTGGGAACAAAATTAGCAAACAGAATGTACCACTCAAAATTAGTCTCCGCACTTGATGCTAGCGTAGATTTGCGCGTGGGTGGGTACTGCGACAACATGACTAGGTTTGAGAAGTTACAAGTACGTCCGCAGTCATATGGATGAACGTGATAGTACTCTAAATCAGTTTGCATTTGAAATACCTACGTCATTCTTACTATAATAAGTTTGATATGATATGCTGTGAACAAACCCTATCATAAAAAATCCTTCCCATCACGATAAATTCATAATTTGATGATACGTACAGACTATTTTTGATTTTCAAAGAAGTAGGATCGTTTGTGGTGAAATCGCACACAAGGAAATTTTCTGTTGGTGTTTGTATAGTAACACTTTATAACGTAGTCTTCCTAATGTCTCAACTAAGGGGACAATTTTGTGGATTATGGAAGGTACTTGTAGGGCGATATCTGTTAAATGACATGTACTGTAAACAAACTGCACTGGTTTCGGTGGATCATCAGGATTTGAGACGCGGGTATTAGTACTTGTTTGTATAGTCCACGGGGTGTATACCTCAAAAACATCTACCATCCCACCAAGACAATTGAAACCATTTTCACGAATAACCTTTGTTCAGGAGGGGAACACCGCTGTACCTTACTGTTGCCCATTAACGGTTTAGTAAGCTTGCGTCGGTATGACATACTTAACTCTTTTAAGTTCTTTATTCTTAGCGCACATAAAATTCTTTACACCTGTCCCGAGGTTTCAAGTAAAATTTCTGACCCTAAGATAAGAAGGTCACTATTTCCGTCGCAGTTGGTTTTCATCCTTGCATCTTCGTATTTTGAAAATTTCATGGTCCATCGATCGCTTGTTAAACTCTGCCTCCTTGTCAAGGACTCAGCTAAACTGGCCTCAACTCTTCCCCCAATCCAGAACAAGCACAACATGATATTGCGACCACCCCAATAAAGTGACATCAGATGGTTTTCTACTTGGTTTTTAAAGATTTAAAAGAAATAATCCAAAGCACATTGATGCACGAAAAACAACACTCCTTGTACATGAGGCTATCCACCCAGTGAAAAAATAAGCTGGTAAATGTCACTGTGTATTCTGGAGCCTCGCAGTGAGAATTCACTCTAAATTTTACCGAAAAACGAATATACCACCACACTTTTTGAATTTGCTGACGGGACTCTACAGGAATAACATGCTGTTACTGTGAAACCATGTGATTAACAAGTGAAAGAACATGCTCTTTTCATGACTAGTTGTTTCTTGTTGAGCAACACTAGTTCCTAGCCCCGTTTTAATATTTCTTAAAAAAGTGTCTTTTGCCTCATCGACATTGATAGCAAATGATCCTGACTTTTTCGCTTTTAGCGCGAGTCTAATCCACTGCGATGACATTTCGATGTAGTTTTGTTATGACACATGCGTTTCATACAACATTACTACACCTATGCAAAACAAGTCCGGTCATTAAACTTTGCACTGGCTTCATATAGTCACGAAGTCCGAGTTTAAGGCAAGAGTTTTTCGACATGTTTCAGATATCTTTTGGCGGATCAAGTTTATTTACAACCATTTTGCTCTCAGAAGTAAACGCTGTCACACTTATGCTGATTCTTATCACATAAACAGTGTTGTTTCCAAGTGACAAACAATCCTAGTGACCCGTCTTACCGATTTTCATTTTATGTGTAGTTTGCAATGCGGAGGTTCTCTTCTAATCACAATAAATGAACTGAATTATTTTACAATCAGTTATAACAAGAACAAAATATAATGAAGGCTTCGAATTCGGTCCCAGCTGGCTTGCTACTCATGTGTTGAGAATAGGATTGTGTCACAAAGTTAAGACAGTACCGTAAATCATCGCAGTGGCAAATACGATTCAAATGCACGCGGTCTTTTTGTTGTTCGTTCGGCTAAAGAGTACTCAACTCCAACAAAATGTGGCTTTCTCATGAAGGAAACTACTCAAAAGTTTGCTGAACAGCACAAGCGAGAGGTTCAGTTGAGTCTCTTGAGGAGACCAAACTGATTTTCAAATGAGTGCATTTCTCGAAAACAGTCCAGGTTCAAGTAAAGTAGAACATAATGTTGATGGAAACTCGGGGACTGCACCTACCTCATGAGCCCCAAGAAGAGCGAAACCGGTCGTGGGTTGCCGAAGAGCTTTCAACAACCTTATGAGTAGTTTCTTTTATGAAGATATGCTGCGATATCTCGAATATCGTGTCAACTGAAACATGAGGCTGCCTGTGTGCAGCACATTCAGAAGTAGAATATCAAAAACGAGAGATTCATTTGAGCCTCTCGTGAAGATCAAGCTGATTTGCAAATGAGTGTATTTCTCGAAAAATATGACCTGTGCAGTAAACAGAAATCGGCCACAAAAGCGTCTTATCCGAGTTACTGTTTTTCTTATAAAATCCTTTAATTGACCGGATGACTTGAAGTTTATTCTACATGTCTAGCCACCGATGTTAGAGACTGCTAAAGTGCTTCCGCCAAATGAAAATTTTGCACATGGTTTTATCCGTGTCAAAATATAGAACCGCTCAACAATGACACAAAAATCACACAACCGGTGGCAGCAGCACTCGGCATAGTCTTTTCTACAGACTTTGATCCACTGATATTACTGGCACAAGAAAATTTTCATTGACCGGAAGGCTCGTATATGTTTCGGACTACTGTGAAATAGATTTATGCTAGCTGCAAAGCATATAAAAGCAAACTATGAACCAAAGAACTGACCGTGGTTGGGGGGTGGTTGTCTGAAATTTGAAATTCCAGCCTGAAACTGGCCTTTCTGAATATAATAGTGCACAATGACGCACAATGTACGTCATCATGGAGCAAACTTTTTCCGAAATTCGTCTTCATCCCGTGTATGCGCTAAACATTCATTGGCTACAGTAAACATGATAGTTGAGGTAAATCAATCTGTGGGTGAGCATTACTCATAAGATGTGAGCTGTCGTCTCTGTTATCTTATAAATTGCATTAGTGCAATCAAATCTTGTTTGTTGTCTTTGGTTGTCGTCATATCTATTGTGCATTAAAATTAGCGCGAACGACAGTACTTTTAGATCTAAATTATCCACTGCAATCTACAACTCAGTGCAAGACCGCTTTATGTATAGGGACAACGTTAGAGGGAGCCGTCCAGTGTGTCAGCCGCAAAATGCGGCATGTGATTATGGAAGGATAAACAAAGATGTCTTATTTTTTTACCCACCAGTGAATTTTATTTATTTGTACTGTGGTGAATAGCTTGCTCTTTGCCGCTGTCCCTTTGGGTGTGGCCATCCAGTCGTTTTCGAGTAGATATGAGAACATGCAAGTTCGCATTCGTCTCGGCAGTAATGTTTTGCAAACAGCGCTCCCCAAAATAGGTAGCGCTGTACACACGTCTCTTCCATCAGTCGGAACCCTACCTTGCTACGTGTTTCTTCTTCGTGTTGCGTTTCTTGACACGTGACCACAGACAGGCAAGGGAAATATGTAACTGGAGCTATAAAGCCTGACATTAGTCAAACCCTCGGTTACTCGCATTATATATGACCTTAAGTTGTGTACTGAAGTTGAGCAAAAGGGACTATTTTTCCGTCATCAGTATTCAGCCATTCAACACAGTGATAGTTTGTTTACGAAACATGTAAATATCGATTTTCGTTTATGTATGTTGCTTTTTAAATGAACCCCGGTTACTGGAAATCAGAAAATGTTTAGATCAAAACAAACTAGCCCACTTACTTAGATGTATTGGTTTTTTGATTGGTTCAGAAAACGTAATGTTTACAGAGGTGTTGGTTGAGAAAGTCGAAGAGATAAACTGGTAGTTGAAAATATTTCTTCAGGTTGAAATCCTTATCTAGACCTTATGTACCTCATCTGCAGATAAAGAATAACCGTTTAACAGATGAGTTTTATTAGTTTCAAGCTACAGGATAACAAAAAGGAAGGAAGAAAGGTGGCGTAAGTTGGTCTTTCTTGGTAAAAAGCGGTGCAACAAATGTTGACATTTGGGGTGATTAAATATGCGCTGGAAGTAGCAGCGCGTTCCATTTTGGTGATGTTTCTAATTTCCTCAGATGTTAGCCGCAAAATCAAGGTCATTAACACTGAGAATAGACTGAAAAACATCCCAAACAGTCCCAAAATATGGGAAAAACAGTTTACTCCTAAACAGCAGAACTACTCTGAAATGGAACTATCAGCTTATAGAAAAAATCTCTCAGGATCGAACAAACGTTCCCTTTTGTGAGTAGGACTGACGAAAACTTAATGGAAAAGTTGAATTCCAGTAAGTGTATTTTATTCTGCTACCTGACTAGCCACAAAACATTCAATTTCTATCGGTATAGAGTCGGCCGAATAAGCATGAATTACTAAACCTTGGTATCTTCCGAAGGACGCTGAGGATTCTACTTTTTGCACGGTGGTACGACGGCAGATGAACCCAGCCGGGAGAAGTCTATCCGTCAATCTGGCGTCCTCAGCGGCTCAGATGAGAGTTTTGATATAGTCGGGTGTACAGCAAATCCAGGTTTAGTGTGCGTTGTCATCCAAGCCATCCACAAAATCGGCCTACATATTGCTCATTCGACTGAGTGGTTGCTAAGCTCCAACGTTTTATCACTGGTTTCGCAACTCTTGGAGCTAAGTGTCCGAATATTTCTACCCACAAAGAGTCCATCCTTGTACTTCTGTCAGCTATCCTAGAATTGCGGTAAGAAACAACACCAATATAAGCAGATTAATTGTCGAGTCCTCTTCAGGCTCATGCGAAGGTGGAACTTTCTTTGGACTGTAGTGAGTTTGTGCTCCGTAAACTTTTTCGTATGTCTGAGTTATTATAATGTATGACACGGAGTGCGATAAACAAATAGCACTTTCGAGCATGTAGGCACAATTTGCGAAACATTCACCGGAATTATGTTCTTTAGACTAGAAAGATGTCTCTGTAAGACTCTGTTATTAAGAAACAGCATATAAAGCGTACAATCACAGGGCATCAAGTGATATGCCTCACTATTCCTGCTTCAGATGGTTGCTATTATATAGATGTACGGTTTTCGTGCGCTGACTTCTGCTTACAGGTGTGTACGCGTCACCTTGAGCAAGCCCGTTGCCATATCCCGTTTATTACACTGAGTTTACAAAGTCAAAATCCAAACAACGAATCGAATCTGAAAACCCTCCAAAATTACTCTCGATGGTTCTATCTAGTGACTAACATTTCGCGAAAGCTTTGTCCAGCGTAGAACGGCGTCACTATGGCATACTTTGCCGACACTAAGAGTATAATCGACGGTATCCGATTCCAAATTCGCCTGTCATATCTCGGATGAACCGCCGCACAAAAAAGGTAGTGAAACATGGGGTTTGTACTCTGTCACGCGTATAACAGTGTGAATGCCATACACTCTGTAGATCGCGACGAACTGAGACCGGAAATTGAGCGGGAGGAAGCGACCATCAAACGGTTCAGATATACACTACGCACGAGGGTAAGTCTGGTGGCTCGCACCATTCTTAAGAACCACCCAAAATAATGATATGGCTAGCCACTACCAACCAGTAGCCAGCGTGATCCGTACAGTAGTGATCGTATAAAGTCATTTCCGGAACTCTAGTAGGCTTTGGGTGGTAGTACTTCCGTCAAAACGTAGAGGTAATTGAGGTACTGAGGGAAACAAATGCCTAAAAGCCAGGTCTGGATAAGGAATTTATTCAGTCACCAACTTAGCACGACTTACGAAGACGTACCTATTGACTGTTTCAGCTTTATCTTCAGGGATGCATCCTGCCAAGATTATCTGGCGAGTTTACAACACTCCTCGAAACTTACTGTCTACCGGATATTCGTCAACAGCATATTCGGCAACCACGTGCGTCGGTGACTGACGAAAACGGAACTACACAGACCTCTTCCAACTAACAACGGAAACCATTGAAAAACCACAAGAAGATGAATATACTTTATTGCTCTACAGAAGGATGGATCTCCAGTCCGACCATTCGACTTCACGACAGAAAGTTCAACATACGAGTTGATGGAGTTTAAGACATCTAACTTACTGATGTCAAACAGTGCTAGCCAAGTCCTTAGCAAACTGCAAATTGTGGGCTGAAAGGCGAAGTTATTAAGTCAACGAATGCCTCCACATTTTTCACACAAATTAACCACAATCGCACCGAAGGTTATTACGGATTCATTTTGAAAGCAAGCTCACTCACCAAAACAAAATCAATCGGAAAGTACATACCACTTCTTGGATATCTGTGTAAATATTTACTGCTTACTGAGCAAGTACACCAACGCAGGTGAGGAAATCCCTTTGGATCCCCAATGACGGCATTTATCACCGAAGCTTTAATGCAGATATCAGGGCGTTCTCTACTACCACTGATCAATTCCAAATTCAGAATTAGCTGTTCACAGGATGCTGTGGTCACGCTAAAAAGAACTACATCACAAGTCGTACACAAGATGGCAAGCAACAAGCTTGTGGACATCGAATCCACCGCTGGACCAGAGAAAGTGGAGTTGCCATTCATGGCCGTACTAATACGGCACAATAGTGACGGCCCATTTGAAACATATCTGTATTGAAAAAAAAGACAAATATGGATTAGATACTGTAATGTCCCGGCAATCATTCGATAAATGGCAATAGTGACTGTAACCACGAAGAGTAGCAACACGCGTTAATGAGAAAAAATAAGTTTGATGAACAAGGTAACCTTGTAGTAGCATCAGAACCAACAAGAATATTTCGGTAAGTTGTTACTTCTTCCGTATCGCAACAACACATCCGAATCAAACCAAGGGTTACTACAAAGAAATAGAAGTTTGCTAAATCATAAATCGAGTGTCGTGGCGCAGTGAGCACTTGGACCGATTCGCGACAAACCTTTTCATTTGCATGTAGATTCACCCGGTGTGGCATCATGTCTGCGAAAACCACTTTCCTTCTTGCCTTTAGCATTTGTGTACAACTGTTTCATGTTGTGTTTCTCTTGGATCACGCTTGTCAGTCGGTCACGCACCAGTCTCCTGGCCGGTTTTCCTGTGTCCCACTGCGAACCAGTTAGAGAGCGTAGGAGCCCATTAGCAGTTACAGCAAACCGATTCACGATCGAAGCCCTGAGTCAAGGAAGGCAATAAAAACAGCGCTGTCTGGCAAAAAAACTGCACGAGATATAGTTCGTAAAGCGTTAAACAAGCCGGAAGGAAACATCCCACACAAACGAACGGATATAAGGAAGTACGATTCAAACTCTTTTATTTCTATACACGACAGATAAGGGAGTTGATGCCGAAGAAAAAGCAACTGTTTACCTCACTGAATGCCACTTTGAAGCAACGTGGGTCAGAGCACTGTATGTTTCTCTTTGGAGATTAGAAGCCATTTAAAAATCAGACTGTTATAACTGTGAAAACCCAGAGGATATTCTACCCGTAGCTTGTATGGTTTCTTAGCCACCTCAAAAAAGTCCCATTCATCTACAACCAGCTTGAAAGCTTATTTAAAATTCGAGATGTTTAACGTGAGTCACAAAAGAAAAACCAACAAATCTATTACTTATTATATTGCTCAGAGTAGCACATCCGCTAGGAGAACATCGAAAGACAATGCATTCGTTTGTGATTCACTCTAGTGTTACAGTTGCCATTGTAACCGACTGATGGTCGGAATCATCTGCTCACGATGTCATCACTGTGGTGTCAGCTAACTTTCAGTGGAAGGATTTGGAAAACCAGAAAGTTGCATTGAAAATTGACTACAATTAAAAAGGAAGTAAATTTGCGTAGGTCAGCAACAAACAAACTTGCAAAATATGTTTGGTCAACTTCAGATGTCACAAAAGTGCACTAGTAAAACGCTATCAGGACAAATATAGGCTTTTTTCAGGTAGAACATACGGTTGACGGAAACTCGGGGACTGTGCCTACCTGATGAACACCAAGAGGGGCGAAACCGGTCGCGGGTCGTCGAAGAGTTTGCAGCAACCTTGTGAGCAGTTTCCTTTATGAAAACAGATACACATTTAGGTAACAAAACCAGCGCGCTCTAAGGGGGGACAGTACACAAACGAAAAATTTGTAATAAACGATGGGAGGGCTGGGCAGAAGTAACAGTTAGACAGCCAAAAACCTGACCATGGACTACCAGAGAGAGTATAACTATGTCTGAAATCAACATACGATATGGAAATAGATGAGGTATAGGTAAAGATCTTTTTAGTGTATCACTACTCCGTCGATCCATAAGCGATCATCAGCGCCGTTTACAAATGATAAGTTATCCGTATACATAGCCTAAACGACTAATCCGTTCCCCCCATTTCTTCCATAAACGTAACTATTTTACCATATAAGAAGTTCTAGGCAAGACTCCCACACCGCATCTAGTTTTTGTCTAGTTATTTCCCATCTGTAAGATCACCATGTTTACCATCGCTGTCAGATTGCCCCGGATCAGGTTATTCCCTATTACCACTGAATTCTTTCCACTGTTTTAACCCTATTGACTTCTGATGTGAAACTGATGGTCCTATCATTTCGAAGTATCCTCATACCGCAGGCCTTGTCTTCTCGTTTTTTCGCCATCCACCTGTCAAGTATACGATAACTTACTGTGATTTCCGGTAACTTTCGACGAACATAAGAGGAGCAGTCCCATAGTTATGGCATACATTACATTGTATGAGTACCTACAACCCGCTGCCAAGAATGCTTTACCTGAATTGGATGGCTTACTATAATTAATCGATTTTACTTCATTATAAGAAGATAATTTTCTTCCTGAGAGTGTAATCTTTCCCACAAACTCTCTTTTCTTGGCTATGCACCAAATGAAGGACCGTTGGCCCTCCCCAACTTCTTAGTCTAAGCAGCAGCCTGGGCTGACCGAGTACCGGAAAACATTCACGCATCTCTAATTTCGTAAAAATCAGTTTCAGCGCAGCGCTGAATAAGATGGGCCGTGTCTGCCAGTAAACTTCAGAATCTAGAGAAAGCAGATTTTTTTATGAACGGTTGTGGCTCATGCAAATAAATAAATAGATAAATAAATAAATAAATGAAAATTACTTGCGGATACTCCAGTTACACCACCCGTTGAATGGAATAACTCTCTTGATCTACTCTTTGAGGAATATTTGGGTGCGTGCAAAAGGAGTGATATAGACCGATTTACAAGATGCATGGCTACCGATTTGGCGATCCACAACCCGAATTGCGCCCCGCAATCTGGGTAGGCATAATGAGTATAACCATGCAGATGAAAATTTTTAAGGGATCTGGCCAGAGGTATTCCGAGTTGATAAACGAAACAGTCCATCGATGAAAATATATGTTGCGATGTCTGGCCAGATATCATAGCCTCGTATAACCATGTCAAAGTTGTGTAGATTGACAGCAGTGCTGTGTTCCGTTTAAATGTTTTTGGTAAATATTAAATATAGTTGTCGGTAGTTGCGGGATTCTTAGAATACATTAAATTCATTTGAACAGTCGTTCTTCTGTTCCAGCGCAAACATTCCGGTGAGTTCACATCTAAGGGGGAAACACTGGATTCGAGTTTCACTTTTATTGGAGTTCAGCAGAAGCGCATATCCTTGACCGTGTCCGATTTTGAACTCCGCACATCTGACATATGGAGCGCGTGATCTGCAACTACTCCATCAGCTCACTCCGGACGCATCTGAATTTTCACTTCTGAACAGATGATAGTGTTCGCGCTTGAGTGATTTGAGTGATGAGCTCAACGCCTCGAACGACGACCCAGTAGCATACCTGGATTGTGTCGATCTCACAACTTCCGATAATCAAGATCAAGCGAAACTTGCTCTCACTAGGACACATAAATGAATAGTTTTGCCGCACGTGCACTACGTATGATCTAAGCCACCGATACATGTTTACTAGCCAACTGTCGCGTTTAATATTTGTCAGCATGACTGCCGATGCACCCTGTCACCATATTAATGTATTTATTTTAGCGTTATTTAGGTTGGATAGATTAAATAATAACCAAACGCATTAAGTACCATTCAGCGTATGATGCACAGAGCGCCGTCAGCCAGACAGCGTCATTTACAGTGCTGACTGTATGTAAGAAATGTGGGACAGAATTCGTGCCGCACCCTGACAACTCCAAATTATCTGTGTTTGCAAAAACTGCCCGGGGTTTCCTTGATAAATCAGAACATCTTCGTAATAAAGTGCCTATTTTTGTGGCCTCTATTAGCGTCTCATGAAACTATCAAAACCCGTGACTGCGACAGTTTTACTGATACCGAAAAGATAAATTCGACGAGTCTTATATTTTTCTTCTCATTTGTAAAGCAAAAACAAGGCGCCGTCGTGATATACATTCGATCAAATGTTGAGGGGTGCCAGGGAGGACGACACTTCTGATCCCCACAGTGCTCTGTTTAGAAACGTTATATCTTGTGTTCGGAAGAAGGCGCCCTGAATCGATGACTAGGTATTCAGTTTTTGAAAACACTTGCCTGTATATCGTTATATGTACAGTAATGAATGGTGATGAGTGAGGGTTAAAACAAGTCGACAATTTTAGAGAAGTGATTGAGTCGGATGACGTAATCACCTTGGTTTGCTTCCAGGGCTTCAGGTTACAGATACAATTGGTTGGCTTGGAAAGGTAGAACCAAACCTTTGGTAATGCTAGGCAAGCAACTGAGATTGTTTAAGGTGTTACTTGAGAGTGCGACCTATCGGCACATGCATTTATGGCGATTTGCCTGATTTTGTCCGATTGCAACAGAGCAGAACAAATCGGGGGTAAGTGAAGGAAAATAAAATCATTTCAATTTTGATTCGTGCCCCCTCATCACCAAAACAAACAACTTCCGAGTACAGTAGTCTAGATTTGTTGTTTGACTGGCTCAACTTTCCTGTCTAACGTGCATGTCTGAGCAGACCTGATCTCAGCTTCTCCCCACTCCTCTTGGTCCAGTACAATGTAAAATGCCTTCGCATTTCCAAGAATACGGCATTCCAAACTGTTACTGGCTGATCGTGCAGAATGATCCATGCCGTATTCAGTGGAACCAGAAGTTAATTCAAGCGTAGAGGTATGACTGTGAACCAACCATGTAGCCATATTAACTACGCTTATTTAACGGACATATTATCACCAAGCACTACATTGATAAATGGGAATAACAGTTTGTTTTCTGAAGTCTCGTTGTTAACATCCAGTCTACACATGAGGAAACAATACTGACGCCACTGTTACTTTGACCAAAGGAGAAGTTTCAAAATACGGTTAAACTACGTTTGATATATACGGGAATAAAAATACAATATTGTATTTCCTAATAGGAATCTTTCATTCACTGCGTTGTTGATGAAGTCTTGGCTTATATCCACTAACTTTGCTGACGACCTCTTTTCGATGAGATTCAGTGACAGCACTCTTCGAGTATGAGTTGATCTAAGTTGTCTAAGTTCCCTAACACTTGGTTAAAATACTGAGCCGTTTCTTTTCTCACATGGACAGTAAAGCTAGAAATTAAACAACCGGTACCAAAGAACTGAGATTAGCATCTAAAGACGTCTATATCCCAAGTTCTTGAGGCTTGTTTGTGTGTTTTGTGTCCAGAAACGTAAGTATTCTCGTTGCCTTTTTTTGTGTACTATCGAGTCATCCGACCCATCGACGTCTGACTATGCACGGACTGCAATGTATTGCTTCAATAACCAACCGGATGAGTTTCCCTGTCTATCTAAGTTCAGCAGAGTGGACTCAAGCACGTTTTAAATAACGAAATTCACCATTTTTTTTATATATCCAGATTTGAAGCGAACGTCACTGTTACAGACGGATTACTTGTATGCTACTTCCAGCAACCAAGTAGTTAAACTGATAATTTGATCTGTCCTCTTCTCATAGAGTCCATCCTACATTCCTTCTAAAAGACACTGGTGTTCTTTCACAAATTAAGCTGTTGTGATGTCATCCTCAGGGAATATTTGGTTTTGTGTGAATTTCCAACTAATTTAATAAAACAGGTCATCCTGTTGTGCTGCTCTGACATCTACCGCACTCCATTAATGGACGGTTCGAGGTTTGTTCATTTGCCAGGTACGAAATGGTTCCTTAGTCGCACAACTGCTGAGGAATGAAGCAGCAGACGGTAACGCGCATTTTGATATTATGTTAAGAAACTAATGGACGTCGTTAATTTCTGCCGGTCATGAAAGTTGGTCAAAGTATACTTCAAATCTTTCTTTTTGTTCAACGTGACTTGGACGTTGAAGACCAATACATTTTCTACATATTCTTTAAGGTAATGGTAGTTAGTTTCAGCAAATGCGCAGTGCACTGGACTATGACTGCCATTGTTTCGCATTTGATAGAGCGAACAACAAAAATATCAATAGATGCGAATACCCGCCTTGGTGAGTAGCATGAAGCAACCAACACTGCACTCCCTGCATCATACATTTTGGGTGACACTCTACGAAAAGTTAACGGTCAGTAGATATTCCAGTAATAAAACTCACTCCCAAGTGTTTTTTGCCCGTAACATGCTCTAATCTTGTCTAATCAGTCTGATCAATCAGTTATTTGGTTAGTTAGTTAGTTAGTTAGTTAGTTAGTTAGTTAGTTAGTTAGTTAGTTAGTTAGTTAGTTAGTTAGTTAGTTAGTTAGTTAGTTAGTTAGTTAGTTAGTTAGTTAGTTAGTTAGTTAGTTAGTTAGTTAGTTAGTTAGTTAGTTAGTTAGTTAGTTAGTTAGTTAGTTAGTTAGTTAGTTAGTTAGTTAGTTAGTTAGTTAGTTAGTTAGTTAGTTAGTTAGTTAGTTAGTTAGTTAGTTAGTTAGTTAGTTAGTTAGTTAGTTAGTTAGTTAGTTAGTTAGTTAGTTAGTTAGTTAGTTAGTTAGTTAGTTAGTTAGTTAGTTAGTTAGTTAGTTAGTTAGTTAGTTAGTTAGTTAGTTAGTTAGTTAGTTAGTTAGTTAGTTAGTTAGTTAGTTAGTTAGTTAGTTAGTTAGTTAGTTAGTTAGTTAGTTAGTTAGTTAGTTAGTTAGTTAGTTAGTTAGTT